AAAACACTCACTTGTATTTAATAATAATAGCCATAGAGTGCGTAAAATTGGTTTATGAGAAATAAATTGTACCCAGACTATATTGCTGATTGTACAATGGTACATTCATCAATAGTTTACCGACAGCGAGCCAGAGAGCTTAGAATCTATTCAAGTTCAACATTCCTCGATCCAACGTCACTGCCCCATTTATTGGTTTGTATTCTCAGGTCATCCACCATTGTCTCTCACAGACCTTGATGCAAATTCTGCCAACAATACCCAATGAAAAAGCTGCCACAAACAATCCCATATTTGGCGCGCTGCCTCGCTATGTATGCCTTATGGATAATATACACGTACATGTGCCACACCCTGCAGGTAAATCTTGTATACACTCAACCAAAACAGAAAGTCCCCCCCCCCATACTTGTTTGTCTAACTCAAGAACTACTAGGCACCTCTCGCTCAAATAATGACTAATCAGTACAGAAAGTCCTTAGCAATCCAGCCATACTCTTAATTTGGCCCCAAAACAGTGATAATGTGTACACATTTATACAACTTATGACAAATGATACCGACACAAATTTGCACTTTTGTACAGCTGCAAGTTGAGTGTGAACATTTTGTCTCGAACGCTCTTTCATCTCTTCCAACAAAAAACTGTACTCTTGTAAAAATTGATTTCTTAAAAAAAAATTCACTTCATTCTTTGCATGTTCTTCCAGGTTCAGTAAAGGAAAGGGTAAAAACATAAACAACAAAACTGGAAATTATTTTTATGAAATTTTTGTTGGAAGATTGCGTTCGAGGTGAAATGTTCACACTCAACTTGCTCGTACACAAAACTGCATAATTTTGTACACATTAACACTATATTTTGTACCAAATAAAGAGTATGGCTGGATTGCTAAGGAATTTCTGTACTGATTAGTCCGTTATTTGAGCAAAAGATGCTCAGTAGTTTTAGAGTTAGACAAAAAAGTATTGCCCAGGGGGGGCTTTCTTTTTTGGTTGAGTGTATAATGGCGATATGGAACTACACTGTACATATATTGCAGGTGCTTTTCATTTTGTTTGGAGCACTCAACTATTGTGAAAAATACTGTATTAGGCAAACCACGGACCACAATGGTCCGTGGGCAAACTCAAACATGTTTTTCTTTGGTAATGAGTGATTGACTCACAGTATCAGCAGCCTACATGTATACATGTATGTACATCGCATGAATTAATTTGCACATGGTTAAAGATATAGTCCATCATTTGTAATTTGCGCATTTTGTTCATTTGAAGCAACAAAAGTGTTCAAAATCTAAAGAAGGGTGCTGAACAACTAACCTGATGAAGTTTCAGCTCAGCTTCAGCTGTACCGTATATTTCAAGAAAAACAACATTCTAGGATCTCGATTTCCAATCAAAAGTTGCTAAATCATGTTTTGAATTGGGCCTGAATTCAGCGTCCGAAACAGTTCTCACTGAGCTGATTGCAGCTACGCAATGTTGCGCACCGATCCGACGAATTATAGCAACCGTGCGCGCATCTGCATCGTGTCAATGCTTGCACGCGCTTCGCCGAATAAAAAATATGAACTACTAACGGAAATTTCCAACGGTGCTTCTTAAGACGCACGGTTGGAAAGGCCTTCTTTCATTGATTTCTTTAAAATGACAGCTTGCCAGAAAGAATAATTTCACAGGGAGTTTAGTCCCCTTACTATCTTTTAACCAAGTATGTTTTTCAACAATTATTACGCCAGTTACTTTTTGGATAGCTGCTGCAAATGATGGACTCTGGCTTTAAAATAGAGCATGTACAATGTATACTTTTTTTGTTAAATTATAATTTACAAGTACAAAATCCATTACAATAAAAAAATCCCACATCACAGATTCAACAATTGATAAATGACCTATTTAACTTCACATTTTCACATAATTGTAGACAAGCTCGGTAGGCATCTCAAATAAACTTAAACAAATTTATATAGAACCATCATCACCAGTATTCTGCACATTATCAAGAAACTATATAGAACCATCATCACACGATATTCACTGCAGATTATGAAGAAACTATGCAGCAGGACGTTATAATTACATGAAATGTTCTCTGTCATGTCTGTACAGTGGCGTACATGTGTAGCACGGTCGTTTTTATTGGGGGGGGTTAAACATTTCTTTAAAAGGGCACTTGCACATCCGTGCTGAAAATGTAGACATGCTTTTTTCCCCGAACACTTGGCATCCGTAAAATCAAAGAGGGGGGGGGGGGGGGGGGGGGGGCTGGTACCATCTGTCAATGGGGGTGCTCTTCAAAACCGACGATTGTGCACACTTATAAACACTAAATGGTGCCTATTAGGGCGATACATGAACGCAAATTCACAAAAAAAGGCACCCAGAACGGCCGATGGGACAAAAAAGGGCACGACTTCTTTTTAAAAAGGGCAATTGTTCAGAAAAAAAGGGCACTTGTTTAAAAACGGGCACTCTTTACAAAATATTGGGGGGGGGGCGGTAAGCGCTGTTTAAAAAAGGCATTTGAATGGAAACGGGCAGTCTTTAGAAAATATTGGGGGGGGGGGTAAAAAAAACCTTACCCCCCCTGCTGGCTATGCCTATGCTGTATACATGTTGTCCCTTGAACACTGCTCATAGTATGTGATGTGGTCTGAATGTGTTTTCATGCCTAGTCTTGGATTTAGCTTGGACTCAATCATGAAACTTCGACTTTAATAGCTTGACTTCTGGAAAAGAGACTAGACTGGAATTGGACTCGATCTGATTGGACGCAACTCCGGTGGACTCGACTATCATACTGCTGACAGGAGTTCAACCCCATGTGACAACAAACATCTCAGCATTTGAATTGAAACTTCAAGTTAATCTACAAGTTGTCGTACCAAACATGATCACACTTTAAACCTGAAAGACTTTGCGAATTTGGCACGGTGACCACATACATGTAGGACACCAGTATACGTCATCTGAAGTGGCTGGTAACTGGTACCAAATCGACTGGCAAACCAAATCCTTGTCAAATAGATTATCAGTAAATTGGAAACTGCACTAAAAAGTTGTACCCCATTTCTGACCCTGCAAACAGCAGTCCTACATGTACTAGCAACATGAATTGTCACTAAATGATTCCACACACAAAAAGGAAGAATGGCTACTCACCTACAGAAACTCCTCCCCTGTACACAGCACTACACACACAACTGTGGCTTGCCTCACAAACAATCAATGCTAAACTCGTCCAGAAACCAAATCTAAGATTGCAATACTAAAAAGGTGCAGTGCAGAATCGACAAGAACAGAATCCAAGTTACTCTCAAAGGCGAAGGCGCGCAAATGATAGAACCACTTCTGCCCAGCCCCTATTTATAGTCCCGATGACATCATGCTGGGTAGTTACTCAGAAGAATTAAGCAATTGCCATGCGTTTGTGCTGTGCCACCCTGTAGTTTGATTGGCCTATTTCTCCTGCACACACTCACACTGAACATACCACCCTAATGGTACACACGTAGATCTTTAAATTAGGCTGACCCCTAGGTTATTCTGACAATCTAAGCTTTGCCATAGAGCATGTACAATTGTACACTCAGTTTATGAGAAATAAACTGAATACCCAGACTATATTGTTGATTGTACAAATTGGTACCGGGGGTATTCCCCAATAGTTTACCTACAGCGAGCCAGAGAGCTTAGAATCTATTCAAGTTCAGCATTCCTCGTTCCAACGTCACTGCCCCGTTTATTGGGTTTGTATTCTCAGGTCATCCACCATTGACTCTCACAGACCTTGATGCAAATTCTGCCAACAATACCCAATGAAAAAGCTGCCACGAACAATCCCATATTTGGTGCTGCCCCACTGTGCTTACGGATTAGCACACCAGGTGAAAGGAATAATGGCGATATGGGACTATTGCTGGTGCTTTTCATTTCTGTTGGAGTACATGTACTCACCTCAGTGACAAAGTCTTTATTAGGCAAACTCAATCTGTTTGTCTTTAATGAGTGATTGGCTGACAGCATACAGCACACATCCAATATGTAATTTCGTTCACATTTTGTGGGGATTACCAAACTATAGACTTTTGGAAACTGTGTTGTACAGGGTGTCCCAAAACAAATGACACCCTTACTTTGATTGCAACTTCAAAAATAACCAAGCTGGCTCTGTACGTTTTTTTTGCAAGCGGACATTATCACTAGCAAACAAAATTTGGGTGTCGGAGCAGGGGGGGGGGGGGGGTTCGCATTTTTTTTTCATGAATTTCTATTGAAAAAAAAATGTTTGACAGAGCTGGGTTTTTTTTTTTTGACCCCCAAACCCCCCCTCTGGATCCGCACCCGTGTAGGCTGGGAATTCTTAACTGTTGAAAACAGCCACTTGATTGATTTGGACTGAAAGGACTACTTGGCACAAAATGTATGTTTGCATAGGAGGGTTTACAAAAATTAACTTTTTTTGACGTGACACAAGAGGGCGCCGTGTAATGACGTCTTCTTCACTTGCTTGTGTTTGGCATCCCTCACTGACAATTTGCTGAATTTGAATCTTTGAAACGAAAGTACATGTTGAAAATGAAAAAGGTCTTCGCTGTCGGCGATTCCGTAAATTTAGGCATAAATGTCAGACAGTTTAATGAGCTGCTGTTGGAAAAGTGAATGTGATAGATCACTAATAATGTGACATCTAATGAGTAGAAAACAATTACAGACCAAACAAACGTACCACCACCTTAACAACATTGTACATGTACATCATGTGGTCCGATTGGTCCGTTGGATTTTACGGAATTGCCCCTATGTGAGTCTTGTGGTGTGTTGATGGTTAAATTAAACAATTCAACAGGTTAATTAATAACCAGAGTAATAGTATTTCGACTGACAGACAAACATAAAGAAGGTTAAAAACAAAATAATTGTCCTACCTACCAACCTGGATAATTGTTAGGATGTTAGCGTAAACACACACATATGTTCAGCCTAAGTGAACCTACCATGATACGGGTCTTGACACACATCCATGGCTTGGCCGGTGTCAATTCTTGCTGTCCTCTTTGGAGGTTTGTGGCCATGAACTTCCTGTATGCATCTTCATCGGTCTCTGAAAGATCATCCAGCATTGACCAAAAGCACTGTGCCTGATTCATCAGGTCATGTTGGACGCCTGTCGCCATAGTTTACTGAAATTGGAAAAGAAAGGAGGAGAATTTTGAAAATGGCGTCCACACAACATTCGCAACGGAGCCCTCGCCGATAAACGGTAAATTTCACTTTTCATCCAGATTGTAAGTAAAGCTTAGTATCATCATCTTCAAATCATAAATCTGTAATTGTATCTCAGGTGGCATATGTAGTAATTCTGCGGCCGTTTTGAGGGTGAAATCTGATGTTTTTGTTGGAAAATGGTTGGGTTGTTAATTGTTTGAAACGCCATGTAAGTACTATCGCAAGATTATGTCTAAATGTTAAAAATAATGCAGAGGCTACTGTTGTGGCAATTGCTATCGTTACAGCAGCGTCTGGCTCCCTGACCTAATGCCTTCATACAACTGCATGTGCGCACATCACATCACATGACAGCGATAAGGGTCTGTGGATGAACAGTTTGCCACATGCATGCGAAATCATAGCAGGGTACCAACGAAATCAAAGAAAGTGTTCTGTTTTGAAGTAGATTTTTGATTCAAAATGTTGAATGTTTAATGGCACATTTTGTATTGATCATGTGTATGCTCCAACTTTTATGCAATTTAAGGAAAGAATTCCATAAATATACATGTATGGACATCACTAATTTTTCCGATAACATGTCCTAAAAAGCCAAATTTTGCAGGGAAAATATTGTAGTATTTACTGAGAAAACACTTGGAACTTTTCTGACCAGTCTCATAATAGGGTTTGTGCACAGGGTGGCAAGTGATGTCCAGGTGGGGGTATGGAAGTCTTTCTGCTTTGTTTATCCACCGACCATTGTTGTCATGTGATGTGCACACACGCAGTGGTACATGTAACTCTGATGGGGCTTACACTGTGTACTGAGACTTGGGTAATCGTTATCTTCAGAACACCTCTATTTTTTACCGGTTCCGTTCCGTTCAAAACTGACTTTTGCATGACTGTTCAGTACCAAAACAACTTTTGCGGGCCAGTCTTTTGTCTTCAGATTAATAACTCATGTTTGTTGAAATTTTGAAACGCACTTTCAAAGAAAATGTGACTTTCCTATTTTTTTTTTTGCAATCAGCGACGCAAGCCACACAGAATGAAAGCCTGATGCTGATTGGCTGATAACAAATTTTTCAAAAAACATTAATTTTTTGATTAGCCAATCAGCATGATCAGCATCGAGCTTTCATTGCATCAAGTTTTCACTGTCGCCATAAATTCGAGCCTGTTTTCTGGTTGTCATCGTCGTCTTTTCAAATGACTCTTTTACCCCATAATTTCCCTCATAAATCGAAGACATGCCCACTTTCCACAATATAATAAACAAAATATTCAAGAAGGTGTCCTCCCTTGAATGATTGAAAAAAAAAGTGATGTACGTATTGAGTGTCATTTAGTCAGCTGTTTTGATGAGTCCTTTCTGCCTTTAACCTTAGGAACGGGTTCCTAAAGATAACGATTACCGAGACTAGGCCTACTACATGTACTAGGCCTAGTACATGTACTAAAAATAAAAAGGCGAAGTTGGGCACCAAGTTACTCTGGCATGTCAGACGGAAAGAATGCAGCATTCAGCATTTGTGTTCAAAGTCAATGGAAGATTTTCAAAGTCTTTTCTAACCACATTGGAAACGCGATTCTCTGTCCCAGATTCATATCTTTTAGGAAAGAGTTCCATACTGGGCCATGACCTGAAAAGTACCAAATCTGATGAAGAAACATAATTTAAGGAGTGCAAAAATTCTTAAAATACTTTAACCACCAGTCACACTTGCCAACTGCACTTGCCACACTTGCCAACTGCGCGCTGAAGCGCGCCCCCGACGACTGTTTGCCGGCCAACTTCGGCTGCCGTTCTACCTCTGCCGTGACGCAAGTGAAGACTCATAGTTAGTGCAGCAGTGGTGCATCAAACAGGCATCCGGTGCGCGCTTCAGCGCCATGCCGCGCCGCGCCCAGTCAGTTGCAGCAGCTGTGTCACGCGTAGCTGCTCTATTTTCTCGTCCACACAACTGACAGCAATGCGAGGCCAGCGAAAGATGGCCGTAAAAAAAGGCTTCCAAAAATTCGTGATTTTCATGGCAAACCACAACCCATCCAAACAAACAAAGTTGTTTTCGGTAGTTAAAGACCTACTTCATACATGTACATCCATCAAGGTATTTTTTTTCTCAAAAAAAAGGGATTTCGATGCATTTTGACAGTATTATTTCACGGACAAATCAACTAAAAATTAGGTCATGAAATTTTCGGTTTTTTCAACAACGACGAAAGTCTCCCAAATGTTGTCAAAGGAAAGAATGAACCTTCATCTACATAAAATCTCGTGAACGTGATGTCGTCAATATTTTAAGAATTTGATGTACACCTAATGTTTCCAACAACTTCCATTTGTCACAATGCGAAATATCGTCGCCATTGTAAAGCATAGAGCGAGGAACCCAAACACGGTGTGACCTTGTGACCCCATACGCCCACTGAATGGTCGAGTTTGAGTATGGCCTGCTTAATATTCATAAGTCATTCATTGCACGTTCGCACGTGCTATTCGCAATGTTTTCAAGCCAACGTACGTCAGCGTACTTACTTTCGTTTACACGCGTACATGTGATTGCAAATCATGAAATCTCGCAACGGTCTTCATTTTTTTTAACCAGCGATTTGGACCAAACATTAGAAGTCTCCTGCACGTGTTTCACATGAAAATGAAGCGTATACCTTCCTCTATCTATGAATCTTTGGCCGTTTTTAAGAATCCAATGTACACCTAAAAACTATCGGCCCTCGCTTTTGTCATGTTTGTTGATAAAAAATATGATTTTGTTCGACAGGCCCTGACAACACTTTATACTTGGCAAAAGCAGTTATTTTTGGTATCAAAATAAAGCACACGATTTGAACTTTTCACATATTAAGCCATCTTGGCCAAACAGTACATGTATCCAGGCACTTTTTGTGTTTTCTTTAGTCTCGCATAAATCTTGTAAAACCTCGCGTACGCTTTTGGGCCACGCATGCACGACCTCGAGACAAGAAACTGAGGTCAAACAGGGCTGTGTGCGTGTGAGACACGGCCACTGACTTGCAGTTGGCAAGTGTGACTGGTGGTTTGCTGTGTGTGCATGGTAATCGACAGCGCTTTGCAGTTTGTTGGTGCACAAATCTAGCACCGGGCATCATCATGACCGCACGGCTGTCGGTTAGGCCTATGCATCCTTTTTTCACTGCAACTGCAATTGTACTTTTGTAGGCTGAATCTTCATCGTGGATCATTTTTTTCTTCAAAGACCTGTGAAGTGGGTAAGACCCAGTTGAAATACAATGTAAGTGTGTTTAGGGGAACAAAATTGCACATTTTCGAAATTTTTTTGGACCTGCCAATGCTGCAGTCCAAGTGAAAAACTTCCTCCAGCCCTAAATGACAACCCAATGATAAAATTTAGGGCTGGGTAACTCCAGCTAGGAAAACGACTGTGTTTGGACAAAAAAAACCCAAAAATGCCGATCACCCTAGTGTAGGCCCCTACACGTATGTCACTTTTGAGTGTCATTAAGTCAGCTGTTTTGGTGAGTTCTTTAACCTTGGGTCCTACAGATAACGATTACCGAGACTAGTAGTACAAAATATAAAAAGGCGATAAGTTGGGCACCAAGTTACTCGGGCATATCGAGCAGAAAGAATGCGGCGATCACGAAGTGTAGGGCCCCTGTTTTGTTTTGATCAAATCAGAGTCAAATTTTTTTTTATTGTTCAAAAATCACCTTTACAATCAAAAGCAGACTTTCCTCAATTCTAATGACACCCGTTTTGCAATTTTGAACAGATTCTTTGGTTAGAAATTACGATTTTCCTGCGCGGTTTGTGCCTTGCGATCAAGGGCGGATCCAGAACACAATTTTTTTGGGGGGGCCCAAAAAAATTTTGGTCTCCCAAAAATGTTGGTCCAAAAAAAAACGGCGTGGGGTTCGGGGCCCGCTTAAGGGTCCCAAAATTTTTTTGGATTCTATATGCTCTGTGGTGCGATCTGAGGCAATTTCTGACCACTTTAACCAATGTTTTTTTAAGGAAAAGATGTTGGTGTACTCAATCCCAGCCTTTATTGCGATGTCACATAAAAAAATAAATAATTGGTTTCGTTTTTTTGGGGGGGGGGGCCATGGCCCCCTTTGGCCCCCCCCCCCCCCCCCCCCCCCCCCCCCCGGATCCGCCCTTGCTTGCGATTCAGCATGTCGTGCGTGCCCGCTCACGGTTCATCGAGCGGTGATCGCCATCTTTATTTTCGGGTCGCGTGTTGCCGTCGCGCCGCGCTGTCATCATCATTTTACCTCCAAATTTCCCTCATTATTGGCCTCAAAAAATCAAAACCCTGTCCTCTATCTATGAGATCATAGCTGTTCATTGAAAATGTCGCCAAAACTAGTTTGGTACGTCCAATAATTTAAAAGTGGATTTTTTCCCTTATAGGAACCGGGACCTACACTACACGATCGCCAAGAATGCAGTAGGCCTATTCAGCGTTTGCAATGTGTACAATTTTAAGTCTATGGAAAGTCAAGAAGATTTTCAAAGTATTTTCTAACCAAATTGGAAATGATTGTCAGTCCCAGATTCATGTCTTTTTAACATTTTTGCAATGACTAAGAGAAGGGAGTTCGCCCCGGTGTTTCTGGCAGTGGCCGCAGCACCTTGTATACCCTGGTGCCACATAATGGGTCTCATATCTCTCATGTACTTCATTCATCTAATTATAGACATAACTCCCAGTGCATTGAGTACCTCAGTACTCCGTTGCGATAATGCCTGAATAGGTTTCTGCAACGTAGCCATACAGATACAGATACAGACTGACCTTTATTGAGATGATACTTGAAGAAAATGTGGCGTCAGGTTGCAACGTTCTTTCCCCAAACGTTCCCTTTCTTGCTGAACTTCAGGAGTTTCAACTTTCCGCAACTTTTTTTTACTAATCGACCAAGTTGACAAGCGCCCTCTCTAGTTGGACGTAGAAATCTTACGTTCCGAAGGCGCCCTTCTCTCGGGGGAGGGGGGGGGGGGGGGGGGGGGAAAATTAAAGTTAACCGTTTGGCACATAATTATAATGAATTTGTCTTCGTGCGAGAGACTACTATTTTGTCAGGCGCGCCCTTTTTCAACAGAAATGTTTAGTTGACAAAAAAAATGCAAATATATAGGGTAAGGCCTATGCCCTTACTATTTAGAAGTGAAACAAACGACTTCCAATAAAGTAAAACGGGTAATTTCTTAGTTTTTAAATTCAAGAGGATTGTGTTGCTTATGTTCAATGAAAACTGAATATGATTGTATTTTTTGCATATATATTCAACGCTATCGCTATTGTTTCGGTCATATTATTTGTATTGTTAGACGGTTTCTCATGAACACACTATTTATTTTAACAATAGACAGCTTCCCTCAAATTTTAATAGACTTGTGTCACAAGGGCATTAAATCTCAACAGGAAACATCAGACACTATATTTAATACACTTAGAGCAGTAGAGTGGTGTCAGCGCCAAAAACCAATCCGAATTAATATAAAGGACATTTACACTTATAATTTTGCCGACTAAAATGTTATTTCAAAGGAGTCCGCGCTTCACAACCACCGGGATTTTGTCCTTGCCATTGTACAGAAACGACCATAATGGACCGTAACGCTAACTCCTGAATTATCTGATGCATTGAATTCAATTTCAGCCAGCAGATTGGTCATGACAAATAAAACAAACACACAGAACATTTGGACAACAAATTGTTGTTCTCTCCGTAAATATTATTTTTGTCAACACCGGGAAAACGTGCGTATCTGCAATCACGGTCTATAGCACACTTTGCCGATATTGTACAGAAACGACATCGACACAGGCCTTATGGACACGCCAACTCCTGAATTATCTGATGCATTGAATTCAAATTCAGAAAGCAGATTGTTCATGACAAATGCGAAAAGCACACAGAATATTTAGGCAAAAAAATTGTTGTTCTCTCCGTAAATATTGTATTTGTCAACAGGCCGGGAAAAACGCGCGTACCTGCAATCACAGTCTATAGAACAAATCACAGTGAAAAGTAGCAAAACAATCAAGTATATAAATAGTTTATCAGTTCAATTTGTTTTGTGTTCATTGGGTGCCAGAGAAATATTTAAAGTTGTTGTTTGTTTTCAAATGCAAGAGTCACCTTGGTGTCGCTAAGCCCACAACAGCAAAACACAAGAGGTCCACAACAAAACAATGTAATCAAACAATGATTAATTCAACTTATTTGAAGTTGTCTTATTAATCAAAGAAGCTGTCTTCTTGCAGACCGAAGTTGGGGCCACCAGAAATGCCTTTTAAGATAAATCCACCGGGGAACAAGTGAAGACGACTGTTTTAATGCGAAATTGTAGTCTATTCATCCCCGTTGCCACTTTATAATACAAAGAAAGAAAAGAAAGGAAACACTGCACCCCTCCCATAAAATGCAATCTAGCCCCGCCCCTCCACATAAGGAATTGGCAACAACTGGCCTGTCGGTGACCCTTTCTTGATCCCCCAACAATAAATGCTTCTGGATCCATCAGCGATTTAGCTGTGTAATCATATTTTTTTTAATTGCATGAAGTAAATTTGTGATTGGGTTGATATATTTTTTAAGGAATTTCTTTTGCTATCCTCATTATGAAGCCTGCATGCCTGATTACAAAACCCAAGTGGTGACCCAGCTGTAGAATTCATAGGCGGGAGATTGGTCCATCACTGAGGGAGGAATGGAGGCATAACCCAACAATCATCTAACCTCAAAGATTTCTCCTTGATTGACTTAAGGCATTGCATGGAATGATTTATTACACGATAATAATCATACAAAGTACACAATGTCAAATAATAATTCCTGACGTCTTAAACTTTGCCCCAAATATCTGGAAAAAAGAAAAGAAGAGATCAGAAATGTTTCTGCACCAATAACAAATAATGCAAATAACATACAAATTTCCAACAAAATTCCATTCACATTTAACCATATCAAAGCCAACTCAACTTTCTTCCGCCAAACGGTGTAAATATCAAATTTTAAATGTAGAAAATGTATTTTGAAGTTAAATAAAGAAATTGACTGTAGCAGGATGACCGTTCCGGATTACCGTACCGGAACAGGAATCCAGAGGTCACAGGGTCAAACCAGCTCCAGTTAATTTCTTTGCATACCATCTTTGCATGACCTTATCTTACAGAGTTGCACATTGATGATCACAAGATAACAACAAATCACAATGATGTAGTTTGTAAACCATGGCTTAAAGGCATATAGGAACATTTGTCTTTCAAGCATTTTGTTTGTTTCCAAAGCATGTAATATCATCACTGTTCCACAGAAGAATACTCTAAACCTAACATGTTGAAGCTTTGGATATTACACTTTTCAGAAAAAGAGTGAAAACTCCATACACACACTTTTGATCAATAAACGCTATTTCGCCCATAAACTCTTATTTCCAAAAATCAGTCAAATGACTTATCGTTGGAAATCACCTACATTTCTTGATTTCTTCTTAATGACAGCAAGCCAGATGGAATAATTTCACAGGGTGTTTAGTACCAGTACGATCTTTAATCCAAGTGAGCTTTTTGATTACAACTCGGTAGGTTACTTTTGGGATAAATGCAAATGATCCCATCCCATATCCCTTTAAGTGTGTAAATTAATTTAAAACTACAATCAGTTCGGCTGTGCAGTTACAGTGTGTAAATCTCATTTTAATCAAAATCTTCTTTCATGTGTCATGCCAGCAACATTAACAATTAAACATTATTTACATTCAGTTTACATTTCCAATGTGAATAAATCAAAATGTTGATTCAAAGTACACTTTTTCTCTCCTGCAGAATACTTTTACCAAATTGAATGGTTGCATTTGGGCATGCTATAAACGACTGCTATCACCTGGGCAACTGCAAAATATCAAAACTGTTAGAAACAAAAATGTGAGTTTTCATACGAGAATATTGATCATACTTGGAACAAACAAATCTAGTGTCAATCAATACTTTGAAGAGGCTTGCAATGATAAAAACAAGCAAATTGTCCACTTGTACCTATTTCAACATAATCAGAAACATTTTCGCGTATACAACAATTGCAACGATTGGTCCTGAATGAGCAAACATGACTATCCTCTGACAAAAATGCATCATTTGGCAATGCAACATTCTACATGTATATATTATATGTGAATTGTTTTACAGTATGAACACTGGTTTAGTAACTCTCAATATGGACATACGCCTATAGTTGAATAGTAAACAAAATCCATGTTATACTGTCCATACACAACTGGACCACTTTAAAGGTATATTACATAAACAGTCAAGGTTAAAGATCTATTCAAAAGTTAGCAAACTGGAATCATAATTTTTGCCATTTTATGCATAATTTACATTTATTTACACAAACGATTTGATAAAGAATTAAGCACAAACACTCAAAAGAAACGTCTGTTTGAAAGGCGTGAAGTTGCGAGAATTTTCTGAATTTGTACACAAGGCAAACGCTAAACAATTCCAAAGTACCCGAGGTTTGGGGTATTATTCTGTATAAGTTTTGCACAGCACTGGTCTATGGAAGGGTGTCGTGCAGCCATTTGCGTGTGGTCACATTAGTTTGTTTGAATGCCATATTACTACATTGATCTGATAACAGGGTAGGAGGAGGCCTTTGTCACAAAAGTTGAAGACATCTCACACAATTTCACCTAAGATGCAATACAAGATATTTTCTCAAAAGAAATGGAAAGGAGAGGTGGATTCTCCTGTTTAATTGACGATTAGATTGTAGATTTATAATAGTACTCAGAGGTCACCCAAGATACAAGGTCAATTTAATATCACTTTCAAGTGACACCCAGAATGCTTAGTACAGTGCTATTATGTTTGAAGATTTCAATGAATCATTTTGTACAGGAATTGTTGAATGACTTTTCACATTGATTGATTGTGATTGATTAATTGATGGATTGACTTTTTTTCGGGGGGGGGGGATGGAGGTTCAGTAGAATGAAGAACTATGCTTGGTATATTTGTATTCATAATGTAAGAGGATTCTGAATACGTCTATTTGTATTGAAACTGTTTTGTTGACTTTTTATTCATTATCGAGCCCCTTATTGTCCTCTGAAAATAAAGTTTTTGTTGTTATTGATTTTTAGTTGTTTTTTTTACTTATTCCTTTTATAGGGGGGGGGGGGGTTGCAGAGCATTGATTTCACATAAAATGACCCATGATACATGCTACTTGTTTCGGTTTAATGGGGCTCGTGAGCGTGGTGCATTCATAGGGAACATGGTGAGAGTTATGACTTGGTGGGAGATTATTTAGACTTTTGGAAAACTCCCCCTGTTGTTTCCTTCAGGTGAGGGAGGTCTTGACTGACAACTTGTCTGATGAGCTTAGCATCGAGGCCGATGTTATGAAGTCCCAACCGCCATAACTTTGGGAAACCTTGGAGATGACCGATGAGAGCCCTCACTGCATCCAAACTGAATGCATTGCCATCAAGGTTAAGCCATTCTAAACCATGCCCAGCAGGAAAGATGCTGATCAGATCCTTCACGTCATCATCGCCCAACCTGCATGTAGGGAGCTGCAAGAGTGTAAGGGATGACGAGAAGCGGCTAACATCTCGCACCCGTGCATGCAGGTCAGTGTGATACAGTGTGAGCCAACCCAACCTGCATCCTTCCAGTGCCTTCAATAGATCAACAACCTCATCCGGTGATCGTTGGTTCATAACCAAAGCAAGCCTGACTTTTTGTTCCTGCATGCGGAAAAAGCTGTGTGATACACGCCCCACATCAAACCACGACTTCGCCTCAAATTGAACCACAATGTGTAATTGAGCACGGCGCTGTTCATCCACCACACCAAGTGTTTCCTCAAGGAGGCTAAGCTCCTCCCCCTCCTGCTCAGACAAGTCGTAGTTAACTGATATCAGCCCAGCTGACTCAATGCTGTCACTCGGAAGAATTCCCTTGAGAAGGGTAAGCTCCTGCTTTCTTACTTTCATGTGAAAATGTGCACCTTCAAGTGGCGGAGTGACATGCTGTAAGTAGTAGCTCAGTGATTTCAGGTCTTCGTTACTCTTGCAGTTTACCACAGTTGGTCTGACTAGTTTGGTAGCCAAATTTTCTGAACCAGAGTCACACAACAGTAACAGAGCCAATCTCTGCAGTTCCTCTTTATCAACTTGCATCTTTTGTATGTGATCCAGAATGAGACCAGCAGCCTGCATGGATCCACTGGAATAAAATCTCAGCGAGGGTTTCATCGCAAGAACATTGCCTTCGTCAATTTGCTTCAACCAATCACGGATTTCGCTTTCCAATTTCAGTTCCTTCCGCAGGTTATCTGCTGTACCCGGCCCCTGGAATCCGGTGATTTCTAAAAGAAATCATAAAATAAGTAAGAGTAAACTATTTATTAAGTATACATGAACATGATTCATAACAATTCTCTCAAGCTGCAATTCATCAAAAACGAACAATTTGCACGTCCATTTTTGGACATATCATTTTTCTTCTGCAAAGGGTTTTCTGTTCAGATCAAGCCCCCATTATGTGGTCAATTGGTCAATAAAAAAATTGGAGAAAGGTTTGCTCATTTGCTTACTGCCATTTACTTACACAACAACGAATAGCCCAAGAAAATTTACGACCGCAAAATATCAAAAATTCTAGCAATTTGTCGTGCTGAAATAGCTGTAATATTGAGGTTTCTGACCAGAACGACATCCCAGTTTTGCTCATGAATATGGAAATTTGTATTAGCATAAAAACAAAAAAGCACCAAAATACCCCTGAAAACAGCAAATAAGAAAATGAGGTCAAATGGGACACAAAGGTGCATTTCCAAGGATTGCATTAAAACAAAATTACATTTAATTTGGCTTCCCCGAGATCACAATACAGTGAAATATCTGATAACTCAAAACAACTGTTTAGTCAAGCAAAGAATCCATTCCTTAAGTATATAACAATGATATACAACCCTGCTTAACTCAAAACTCTGCTTATGTCAAATCTTGAAGCTATTTGATTTATCAAGATTTCACAAGGTTGACATTGCGCGCAATAGCCATTCTCTATTCACCCTGTGATGAAGTCAACGCAGAAACTTTGATCACGCCACAAACTGTTGAACAGGATGATAAAATGAAGAACTGTTGCTGGCGGTACATCACACAGCAGAAAACATGACCTAAATTTGCTGATCAAAGACTTGATTCTACAGTAAAACGTAGGCTAAGTAAGTTGTGTATGAAATGAGTTAACACGCATTTGTCTTTGAATATAGTAATGGAAATTATTTGTAAAGCCATTATTTTTTCCACTCTCTTTCAAAGATTTGCTTTATAATAAAGGAATCTTGAACATTAAACACAAAGTTATTCATGTTAATTTAGGGATCTGGGGACTTCCCAGTCAAGTAACCTTTGATCTTTATTTGCATATTTCATTTTGACCCACACGTGCTGAATTACAAAGCATTTTCTCGACCAAACTTGTCAGTCGGAATACGTTTGTATACATTGCACTTGCAAAGTCTGCGCGTTTTCAGACACAGTTCCCATGCTTGACTCCTGCAGCTCTGACGCAAGGCCTATTTGCCGTGAAAGGGCAAAATCACTGAAACTTGGTGGGTATACTGTTAATACCAAAGCAACGTTATGATGACATCATGGGTCCCAAACTGTCATCAGAAATTTTTAAAGTCCTATAAATCTGAAGAACTACAAGAACAGCTAAATACCAGTAAGTCATGGAACTAATGTTCAACACATATTCTAAAACCGTAAACCACCCTCCCCCTGCCCCCCCCCAAAAAAAAACCCCCCATTAACACTTGATTTAAGATATCAAACTACCTTATTGTATCAAACAATATTATATTTACCTGGTCCCTCCGACGGCACGTTGGAATGGAAATTAACACTTGAACCAACAATGATAGGGTTGTGGCTACCGCTGATTGTACCAATGCTTTCTAAGCTGGCTCCACTTCTTTGTGGGTAGTCTACAATCCAAAACAAAAATTAAAATATCCTTCAATTCAATTCAATTCAATAATTAGGGAATAACAGTGTGGGGACCAGGTCTTTACTTTTGTAGCTTCACCATGTGTGGCTTTTCTTTCGGCGATATTTCCAGACTTTTTATGTTCATGTTCAGGGGCCATACATGTAGTTTATTTTATGCACAGTACCCTGTCTCTTCAATATGCACTGTTAATATCACCCTTGCCGGCCCAAGTTGGACCACAAAGTTCATTACAACTGATGTCCAGGGTATGAACTTCTGCTGCCACAGCGAACAACATTAGAACAATGTTTGTTTCATATTTTTAGTTTTACCAGATGGAGGAAGCTGAAATTTTGTTTACATACAGTATTCCTTGTGTCCAAAATTACAAAGATGCTCGGTTTAGAATAAGTAAATATCTCCTTGGGAGACATGTTTACAGAAAATAAATCACAGATCCATGATTTCGTCGTTAACATCCTAGGTACGAACATGTCGTGTGAAGACTTATCACATGTCAGCACGCCCCACATACATGTAGCAATATAGCTTATGTGTTGCATACACGTGCGGAAGTTTTCACACAATGGTGGCTGAGCGCATGTGTACTGCTGTATTGTAACCAGTGGTACCATAGGACTGTTGCATATTTGGCCAATCATTGGCTTACATGATGCCAGATCAGTGCTGGTTTAATAAGGAGCCAATTATTCGCTTGTAAAGCTGGTCTTTATATCACATGTTAATACATCCCCACATGATCGAGTCTCGACCAATCAGAAGCTATCAACTCTCCAAGGCATTTATTAATGGTTGATTAAAACTAATCGGATATTTGTACATGTGAACATAATATATGATTTTTAAAAACAATTATACCAAAACATAATATTACTAAAAACCAAATATTAAAATACCTACATTTAAAATAAAAATATTTTAAGAATATGTAGGCCTACTTTAAAGTCTTTTTTTTTAAGAACCACAAGTTCAATTCAGTTAATTTATACTGGTATTTGGCCTGTATACAGATACAAAGAAGATTTATCTCCTTAAAACCATGTTGCATTCGGGTGATGTTATTATTGGATTTGTCTTTCAATTCAAAATGTTTTCCAGGCCACACACATTATACATGTATTATGAACCCAGTATGTCCAGGAGTTGGTGCCCTCATGCATCCACGCCATGAGAACTTGACTACCGAACCTTCTCACTAATTTGTGCACCAACAGTTTATTTGCCAAAAATTGTGCTCGAAAAAATCAGGAAATTTGCTCTTTGTTGTCAACATCATAATATAGTGTGCTTTGATAATATCCTAATGTTGGCTCTCAGGTACATGTATGTGAAAAACACCATAATTAGGGTTTTTAAAAAATATTATTCATAAGATGGAATTTGCATTGGGGTGATGTAAATCAATATTGTGTTTTTGCCCTTCACAGATGTCAGGCGCGGATCCAGGATTTTTTTAGACGGGGGGCACAACTTTGGAGAATTTGCTCCGAGAACTAATACGAGCACGGAGCCCCTGAAAATTTTGGATTCTAGATGCTCTGTGGTGCAATCTGAGGCCATTCCTGGCCCCTTTACCCCTGAATTGTTTGAGCAAAAACTTTTAAGATTATAAGGATTCTTTTTAAATATACTCCTGCTTTTAAACATTTAAGTTACTGTGTACTTCAAAATAGTAAACCATGTATTTTCGTATTCATATTTCTTGCATTGTATTTTGAAAAAAAATCATATTGACTTAGTTTGTAAACTGTTGCAACAATGCGTTGGGGCATTTGCTCCGAGGACTAATGAGAGCGTGGGGTCAGGGGCCCACTAATAAAGGGCCCCGGGAAATATTGGAATCGAGATGCTCTGTGTTGCAAATCTGAGGTGATTCCTGGCTCCCTTTCCCCTATAGCCCTGGGTTGAGAGTAAAATGTTTTAAGATACTGTTACGAACCCAGAATGCTTGATTATGGAAATCTAGCGCCCTCTGGATTCACTCTGTCCATGAAGTACACAATTTTATTGTTGTCTTTTGCTGTTCCCTTATTTACCTAATTATCGTAAATTGCCAACTTGCACTTTTATTCCCAGGGTCTCTTACCAAGCACAGCGCATGATGCAATACCACGCGCGCTACTGTATGCATTATTCATGTAGCGATGTACATGTGCGCGACTGACCACACCTCCCTTTGCCCCAGCGAGCTAAGTTCCTTTCCCCATAGCATGCGTGCTTTGGCGTTCTCCGAGAGACTGCTCAGCGGCACGGAGCGTTTCTCTCCCCCGTGTGTTACTCATGAACACTAACTGGAGTTCTCGGTCCAGTTTTCCAGTCCCGTACTTAGCTCGAGGGAATGGAATGTTACCCTTGCGTGGTCGCGTAGCTGGGCGTGGTAAGACATCCTGTGGTGTCAATAACCTGTGACACAGTGACCTTTTAGCTTGTCACTCACTCCATCAAGGTTGCTCGAGATGTTGTGTAAACACTTTTGCACTCTGATCTAACTATTTGCACACATCTCTCTCTGTATTTGCACACTTCTCTCTCCATGTTTTCCCTTATGTAATTGCACACGTCTCTAGTCTCTTGCACTAGGCACTCTTAGTAAATCATGTGACTAGTCATGTGACCCTTAGACATGGAAGATTACTATTGGTTAATTCCTAAATCAGTGCTCATGCATTATTTAATCCCGAGACTTCTACTGCCTATAAATACCGAGGTTTTCCTCACTTTCGGCAGTGCGGCGAACCACGAAACCAATGTAGTGCGAACGAACTCTAAACCCAAAGTTGTGAGGCGAACTTATATGTTGTGCGGTAAATCGTATGATGTGAGACGAACTCGACTCTGACAGACCGATTGTTGTGCGACCCTAGTCACTACGAAGCATCGGCCTCCCTTGGTGGTTGAGGCGCGGTGAATTAATAGTGCAATCACTAGTACTAGTGTTATTATGAAGCATCCTTCTCCTAGATCCCTCGAGGAGTGTGTAGAAGCTGGTGAAATAGTAATACACTAGTCCCAATGGTGCTGTGCGGTTTTGAATGGCCATTGGACTGCTAGTCTTAGCTTGAACATGTTGTGCGGTTGTCTGGTGTTCTAGCCCAGCCAGAGCTAGTTCATCCCCGTCACCACATCGGACTGCTCCCGCTGTGGCCAGCCGGCTCCCCGTAGCCATTTCCCCCGTAGTTCAGCTATGCTAGCCCTGTCTTGTCATAAACACTATCCTTGGTGCATAGTGCCACGATTGACCTTGGATACCCGATACGCCACATGCACACTTTGGTTCGAACTGTAGTGCGGCCTGGTACACTTGCTGGCCCCGTCCAGTTACCGTTGCCTCCCCGGTCACCGTAGCGGACCGCTCCCGCTTCGGTCTGACCGTCGATAACCCGTACCGTGCCGGTGCCCACTCAGTTCGTGTTGGTTAACATGGTTTTGCCATAGTACATAGTACATGTATAGACTTTGTAGACACCAACCTGTTATATCTATAACGCTAACAAAGACTAACCAAAAGGAGAAACCTATAGATTGATGAAATCTTGAATTGAATTGAATTGGATGACTCTAGATTCACGTAGACAGAAGCACATAGTTTCCTTCACAGTTAAAGTCCTGTTTAACTTAGTTGACTGCCAATCAGTGAAGGCCAACACAGTAGTGAACACTCGTCACCAGGATTGTCTCACATTTAGTCACCACTATGCTAGAACTCAAACCCTGAAAAACACACCTAGTCATGTCTTCCCCCGAATCTGGAGTAGTTTGCCATCGCATGTAAGGGACTCTCTATTAATTGATTCATTCACACTGTTTAACACCCGATTATCCGCCCATTATTATGAGTGTTAAAACCTTGAGCTGGAAATAGGCCCCCCCCCCCCCAAGTGTTTAACTCTTTTGATCTACTTTAATCTTTTTAAAGTAATTTCATGTGTATATATTTCCACTGTAAACTGCCATCATTCTTTTATTTCATTGTTATTTTATTTTATATTATTTTCCTCTTTTATGGTTAAGTTTATTTATTCATTTATTTATGTCTGAAATAATGTTGGTTTTCAGGCCTATTTTTCCGGTTGCTTATCATTTATTATTACTCGTATTTATTTTGTTATTGATAATTTTGTTGTTGCTTTTCTTGTTCATTGGATGGATATTTTTTTTTGACGTAGTTTTTCTCGCATGTCGACTGTATTTTTTACTTTTCTCTATCAGGTTTTTATTGCTTATTATTTATTTTTTATTTTTTATTTTTTATTTCATTTTAAATTATTTTGTTTACTGTATCAATCTTTCGTTCTGTGTTTTTATGTTGTAGTGTGGTTGTTGTTGTCTTGTCTTGTCTTGTCTTGTTTGTTTGTTTGTTTTTTGTTTTGTTTCGTCTTGTCTTGTTTTGTTTTGTTTCGTTTTGTCTTGTCTTGTCTTGTCTCTTGTCTTGTCTCTTGTCTTGACTTGTTTTGTTACATTTTGTTAAGTCTTATCCTGTCTTGTTTTGTTTCTTTGTTTGTTGGGGTGTTTGTTTGTTTGTTAGTTTTGTTTTGGCTTGTTTGTCTGTTTTTCCCCAGTCTTGTATAATCTGCAGTTGTTAGGTTTTTATGCCAGCTATTCTTGCCTTTGAGAAAACTGTTGTAACTGTAATCTTTTAAATCTAATTATCTTTGTAAGTATTATTTTTAAGGCGGTCTTATTTTTCATTGAATTTTATACCTAATTTTTAATATATTTTGTATGTTACATGTACCATTCAAGTTAGGATTGACAGGCTTTCGAGTCACAGTGTTTTGTTATACTTTTGTCAATCCTGGCCAGCTTGGATTGGATTGTTTTTGTTTAGTTTTTTGTTTACTTTTGTGAATTGCTTGTTGTACCTTGTAATTTGGCCGAATAAATAATAATAATAATAATAATAAAGTTATGTAAAGTGAAGAGATGAGTGTATTGACATGTGTGACTGTCACCCCAAAGCTCTGTTTCCCTCCAACTTATTGAATTATTGTTGACTCTAATAAATGTTTCATGAACTGCTATTAGGGAACGCAACAATACTAAGGATTTTTTTCATTTTCATTTCGGTTTGCAGTAACACATGTGGTTTTGGATTTTTAATTTTAATACTCTTGTATTTACAAGCCTTTTAAGTTGCTTCTGTTCTTCACTTGATAACCATGTATTTTTGTCTGCATATTTATTTTCGTGCATTTTATTTATGAAAAGGAATTGGATTAGCCTTGGTCAAGGCGCTAGTTGTTTTTAATCCGGCCGTAGCGCGGTAATACATGCAGTCATAATGTCTATGTGCTATGCATGCAGTACAGTGCATTAAAAATACAGCGCGAACAGCGACCTCACGCGGCCACTATTTTTAAGCAAATCAGTTGGACCCAATATAGCGCCTTGGTTCAATCGTCAATGTGAGGTTTTGGTGGTGGTGCTCATTATGTTAATAGCCTTAGCTGACCTTAACTGTCGTTTTCTTATTGGTCAATCGTTGCGGGGAAACTTGCTTAGTAAAACGTGGCACTGTACATAATCCATACATGTACACGTACACGTTATGTGTCTCTGCACACGGCACCAACGCACAAAAACTGTGGTTCCTGTCACGTCCGCAAAAGGCGAATAGCTAGCTGCAAACAATTTGATGACGTCCGGATTTACCAAGGTGTGATTGGGCACTCCACATATTAGTCCCGCCTACACTTATCTGTATTCACATACGAGGTCGTGCGCTAGAAATCCAGCGCAAAATAAAGAAAAACATAAGCTTTTGCCGACGATTGAACCAAGGCGCGATATTGGGTCCAACTAATTTGCATAGAAATGGTGGCCGCATGAGGTCGCTGTTCGCGCTGTATTTTTAATGCACTGCATAATGCATGGCCCTAGCGAGGATACCGTTTACGCGCCACGGCCGGGATGAATAACATTTAAGGCCTTGACCAAGAGCTGCCTGACTGTCTCTTACTGTGGTTACAGTAAGAGCAACCCACAAACCAAATTTGAAGTTCCTAAGTCATTTCTCAAGCATTCATGCTGACAATACAGCAATTAGTGACCTTGACCTAGCTGTCGGCCCCAACAGCAACAGGCCTCTTAAGACTATCAAGAACAACAGACAACCCACAAACCAAATTTAAAGCTCCTACGTAATTATTCTCAAGTTATCGCGTTGACAAGATTTCTATTGTTTTAGCAATAGTGACCTTGACCTTTGACCTGTCGGTCCCAAAAGCAATAGGCTTCTTAAGACTACCAAGAACAACCCACGAACCAAATTTCAACTTCTTTAAGTAAAGTATTTCTCAAGTTAACTCGTTGACAAGATTTCTTGTTTTAGCAATAGTGACCTTGACCTTTGACCTGTTGGCCCCAAAATTAATAGGCCTGTTAAGACTATCCAGAACAATCCACAAACGAAATGTCAAGTTCCTAAGTAAAGTATTTCTCAAGTTATCGTGCTTAACAAGTAGGCCATCAGCCTTGGTCCAAAATTTTGGCAACCGGTATCAAATGAGGGGAATAATCGTCATAGCAATTTTTGGCAAGGTATACACCTCCAAAGTCACTGCACCACTTTTTGGGCAAGCTCCATACCAGAAACCGGAGACTTTTTTTGGGGCCTTATCATTGTTTTTTTAATGGAAGTCAAAGAATCATTCCGTTACCAACTGACGCATGCGCATTATGGTCACTGACTAAACCTGGTTGCAGAATAGTACCGGTAGCTGCGGGCAGGGTAAGGGCAGTTGCTTTGAGAATTAGCTGGTGCAAAACTCTTGCTATCAATGGGGGGCTACCTGAGCAGGATTGCACTAGAAATGATACTGTACATGTATAAGATACGGTGTTTGCTCCGATTCCAATTAAATGAGTAAGTGAGACACCTTGGAATGATATACAGTGCGATGGTTGCTCCGGTTCAAAGTGAGTGAGCTACTTGCTGATCATCAATTATTCATTGATGATATTTGTCGGAAAAAAACTACACAACGTAAATGTATATAAGGAGCTATAACTTACCCAGAACTTAAGCGTGAATATGTATGAGGTATTTATAACTTACCTGGATCTTGGGGGTGCTCATCATCCAAGTTTGTTTCTGAAAAGAAATTTATATCAAATGTAACTACATTTGTTAATACACTGTAGGCTAAATAGCACTGAAAAGAGGCATAATTTACGGCTTAATTAAAGGCTTAATTTTACAAATTAAGAGAGCACAAACATACATGTAATGGCTAAATCTATAGGTCAGCTAATAGAGCACTACCATTTTGAAATCAGGAAAAATTGACTGGCATTAGATAGACCAATCACAGGGCACTTTGATTGGTCACCTGGATTGGTGACCAATCAAAGTGCCCTGTGATAGGTCAGGTGACCAATTAACAAGGCGTGTGTGACAAGGATGTTTCCTGAATTGAAGGTGAAATTTCTCTTTTCTTCCCAGAGGTATGTGAACCTAACCACCACCAATCACCATTTGTATTTTCAATTCCCACAGGGGCACATCAGACAGTTTGAGGACTGTTTTGGAGATGAAATCTGAAGATTTTGATAGGGGGTATGAGTGAAAATGGTCAAAATAGGTTATTGGTATTGTAGCGTGCCGAGGGGGAGGGTGGCGACTATAATCCTCTAAACGATTCCAGAAAACCTACGAACTTAATCAAGACAATACAAGTTGAAAAATCTTTGATGGAAGCTCCCCTTTTTTTTGACATTTTTCTATTAATTAATTTCTAATTACACAAAAATAAATTCATTTCATTCAGTTTAGCAATTCGCTTTCATAATGAAAAATGATGCGTTTCAATCAGTTAAATTACATGAGATCCGAAATTAGAAGAGTGAAACTCCTGGTTTCTAAATTTTTAGAGAAACTTACACACTTAATTAAATTACTATAAAGGTGCAAGTTAATTGATACAAATCACAAACAAATTATAGGCCGGCAAAAATAAATCAAAATCAAATTTCCCTTGTTATTTTTAAAACATTAACAATTACAATTTGAAGGTGTGCGACCACCCAGACCAGAAAATACCAGTTACAGAAACAAAATAATGCAACATTTGACTCGTCTACACATGTCAACACCCAGCTGCTGGCAAGAACCAATTAGAATGGGATTAATCCCCATTTAATAAAAGATCTGAGCAAAATTCCAAGCCACGCCCAAATTTGCATAAACTAAAAATGTTGGCTTATGACTGCACGAACAAAATTACAAATTCCACAATGCCAAAAAAAGAAATATTCAGGAAAAACTCTTAAAATTAATAGCCGGGTAGGCTATGTACCGTGATGTACATGCAATGACATGTTCATGCACTCACAATATAATTGTCAAAAATTAACCGGACTAGTTCTCGCCAGCAAAACCTGTGAAAATATCAGCCATCCATATTCAATCCCCCTAAATCCCATGTCATTGGGTTGCAAAACACCCTTAAGCTACTTCAGAACTGCCTTTTGACCCAAACTTAGTCAAGATTCAAAAAATTAAGACTGGGCTAAAATGGCCACCATGTCACACCGACACACCCAGGCCCTACCACCAGCCCAAAAAAATATCCGTCCAAAATACAACAAAATCTTCAAAAATATACCTCAAAACTGTCTACAAAATACACTATTGCAACTCCTTAGTACATGGAAATAAAGAGGAAAATTTAAAGACGAGGCAACTCACCATAAACAAAAGCGAAATTTTAACCCAACAAAAAGTACAACATGCTTGACTCGAGGCGGGGCAGCAACCATGGCAACTGCTGAATTCCACACAACAATAGCTACATGTCAAAATACATAGCCAAGCGAGGGCAGCACCACATTGCTTCAATTTAAATGGCGGTCTCTTGTGATAAATAAATCAAAAGGTGTAAAGCAGATTTCAAATTGCACTACATGGACATGTATAATGCTGATGGTTGTCCATCTTCAACTAACCTCTTTGAGCGAATCTACTCCAAAGATTTCCCATTGTTGGTCAGACTGGGCTCACAGCACAAGCAAACAGTTTCCTGCAGTGGATGAAAACAAAACAAAAAACAGACAATGAGCAATAACAATCAATGCTGAGGTGACGACAATATAGCAACATGGCCTTTGCAAGGGCGGATCGGGGGGAGGGGGGGGGGACGGGCAATGGGACCATCCCCCCTCTAAACAAACCCAATTTTTGTTTGTTTAGTGACGTCGCCATAAAAGCAGGCACTGCGTACACCACCATCTTTTCCTCCCCAAAAAATTGGTCAAAGTGGTCAGAAATTGCATCAGATCGCACCACAGAGCATTTAGAATCCAAAAACATTTCAGGGCCCCGAACCCTACGCCCCCCCTAAAAAAATTGTGTTCTGGATCTGCCCTTGCATGGATGCTGTGTGCCCATGATACATGCAGCATTTGTTTGTGAGTAATCCGTTTATTCTTCACTAATTAGCACTGGTATGTTTCAACATGAAGCCATTATGTCTCCGCCATTTTGTATCCATGAGGGTCAGTGCTGGAACTGCTGCACATCCATGACCTATTGTTATACTCCATTTAATTATTGCACTTCCATACTAGGGTACCCACCGTATTCAAATTAAATGGTAGATTAGCAATATTGCCTAATGCCAGATACGAATTTCATTACAAAGATAAACAGTAAACCAAGATAGAATTTGTTGAGAAGCACCAGGTGTACTGTTGAACCAGCCTGTCAGTCAGCTATCAAAATGATACTGGGCTGACCCTCTGGAACTACCGATAGGAACAATTTCAACCAACTTAATCAGTCCAAATTTGCTTCTTCTTATTCTTGTAATTATTCAGTAAAAATGTTACAGATAAAATATTTACAGCTTCTTTGATATTTGAAGATTCCTTTGCAGAGCTCTATGTTGAAATGTATGGGACTCTTGCACCCCCTCCAACAATAAAGTTTTACTTTTAAGCTTTTTGCGTCCAGTTCCAAAACGTTCTATGAAAAGTCTAAATTTCCTCTTAAATTTCATTACAGAGGAGCAACATGGAGTACAAACTACAATTTGAAAGTTGTAAAACATCTGTTTTGTCTGAAACCTTTTTGTTATCAAACAAGTCCTAATTACGGAATAAAGCAACATCTTTTGAAATATATTCCAGCAGGGTAGCCTTTTCAGTTGTTTGAACTGCTATTCTTTTAGGGCCCTGACATGCAGGCCTACGGTACATGCACGCTCATACATGTAGCCCTTACCGGTAGCCCTTACCAGTAGCCCTTACCGGTAGGCCTATCTGATGAAACAAAACTTGTTTATTGTGTCGAAGAGAAATTACCACTCCTCCAAAATATAGTACCGGTACCTTATTTGGCCTGTACATGTTACTCATAACTGTACAAAAAACCACACAGGTCTGTATTAGCCATAGATCGCTTAAAATTGGTTCATGAGAAATAAACTGAATACCCAGACTATATTGTTGATAGTACAATGGTATATTCACCAATAGTTTACCTACAGCGAGCCAGAGAGCTTAGAATCTATTCAACTTCAGCATTCCTCGATCCAACGTCACTACCCTGTTTATTGGGTTTGTATTCTCAGGTCATCCACCATGGACTCTCACAGACCTTGATGCAAATTCTGTCAACAATACCCAATGAAAAAGCTGCCACCAACAATCCCATATTTGGTGCTGCCCCGCTACTTCTTACGGATAATAATTACCACACCCTGCAGGTAAAAGATACAATGGCGATATGGAACTACATGTACATGCATTGCAGGTGCTTTTCATTTCATTTGAAGAACTCACCTCAGTGAAAAATACTGTATTAGGCAAACCATGGACCACAATGGTCCGTGGGCAAACTCAACATGTTTTTCTTTGGTAAATTGGCTCACAGCATTAGCAGCCTACATGTACATCGCTTTTTATAATTTGCACACAGTTAAATTAGAAAACACATGTACTTTTTTTTATTAAACTATAACTTACAAGTAGAAAATCCATTAGGATAAAATATTCCCACATCGCAGTATACTCAACAATTGTTCTAATTTAACTTCACTTTTTAACATAATTGTGACGAGCTCAGTAGGCATCTCAAATAAACTTAAAGTAAATTTATATAGAACCATCATCATACGATTTCACCGCAGATTATCAAGAAACTATGCAGCAGGACGTCATAATTACACGAACTGTTCTCTGTATGTTGTCCCTTGGACACTGCTCATAGTTCATGATGTGGTCTGAATAAGATTTCATTCCTACATGTACATGTAGACTTGGATTTAAATAGCTTATTTAGAATCAATCATTTAACTTTGACATGTTTGACTAGAATAAATGTAGCTGGATTTCTGGAAAAAGACCAGACTCAAATTGGACTCATTCTGCTTGGCCTCGACTCATGGTGGCCTAGCCTGTACATGTTACTCAACAACAGCCAAAAAACACTCACTTGTATTTAATAGCCATAGAGTGCGTAAAATTGGTTTATGAGAAATAAATTGTACCCAGACTATATTGCTGACTGTACAATGGTACATTCACCAATAGTTTACCTACAGCGAGCCAGAGAGCTTAGAATCTATTCAAGTTCAGCATTCCTCGATCCAACATCACTACCCCATTTAATTTATTGGGTTTGTATTCTCAAGTCATCCACCATGGACTCTCACAGACCTTGATGCAAATTCTATCAACAATCCCCAATGAAAAAGCTGCCACAAACAATCCCATATTTGGCGCGCTCCCCCCCTATGTATGTCTTATGGATAATATACACGTACATGTGCCACACCCTGCAGGTAAAACTTGTACACACTCAACCAAAAAGAAAGTCCCCCCCCCCTCATACTTGTTTGTCTTTAACTGAAGAACTACTAGGCACCTCTCGCTCAAATAACCACTAATCAATACAGAAAGTCCTTAGCAATCCAGCCATACTCTTAATTTGGCCCCAAAACAGTGATATAAATGTGTACACATTTATACAACTTATGACAAATAATACCGAAACAAATTTGCACTTTTGTACACCTGCAAGTTGAGTGTAAACATTTTGTCTCGAACGCTCTTTCATCTCTTCCAACAAAAAATTCTTAAAATTGATTTCTTCACATTTTTTCACCATTTCCTTTACGGCATAAATGTACTTTGCATGTTCTTTGAGGTTCAGTAAAGGAAAGGGTAAAAATATAACCAACAAAACTGGACATTATTTTTATGAAATTTTTGTTGGAAGATTGCATTAGAGACGAAATGTTCACACTCAACTTGCTCGTATACAAAATTGCATAATTTTGTACACATTATCACTATATTTTGTACCAAATAAAGAGTATGGCTGGATTGCTAAGGAATTTCTGTACTTATCATTATTTGAGCAAAAGATGCGCAATAGTTTTAGAGTGGACAAAAAGTATTGGGGGGATTTCTTTTCTGGTTGAGTGTATGTGTATAATGGCGATATGGAACTATTGCCTGTGCTTTTCATTTCGTTTGGATCACTCACCTGTTGTGAAAAATACTGTATTAGGCAAACCATGGACCACAATGGTCCGTGGGCAAACTCAACATGTTTTTCTTTGGTAATGAGTGATTGACTCACAGCATTAGCAGCCTATATACGTGTACATGTACATCGCATGAATTAATTTGCACATGGTTAAAGATATAGTCCATCATTTGTAATTTGCACATTCTGTTCATTTGAAGCAACAAAAGTGCTCAAAATCTAAAGAAGGATGCTGAACAACTGACCTGATGAAGTTTCAGCTCAGCTTCAGCTGTATATTTCGAGAAAAACAACATTCTAGGATCTCGATTTCCAATCAAATGTTGCTGAATCTTGTTTTGAATTGGGCCTGAAATCAGCGTCCGAAACAGTTCTCACTGAGCCGATTGCAGCTACGTGATGTTGCGCACCGTCCGACGAATTATAGCAACCGTGCGCGCGTGTGCATCCTGTCAACGCTAGCATGCGCTTCACCGAATAAAAAATACGAACTACTAACGGAAATTTCCAACGGTGCTTTTTTTTTTTTTTCCAAAGGCCTTTTTTCATTGATTTCTTTAAAATGACAGCTTGCCAGAAAGAATAATTTCACAGGGAGTTTAGTCCCCTTACTATCTTTTAACCAAGTATGTTTTTCAACAATTATTACGTCAGTTACTTTTTGGATAGCTGCCAATGATGGACTCGGTAGGCATCTCAAATAAACTTAAACAAATTTATATAGAACCAATATCACCAGTATTCTGCAGATTATCAAGAAACTATATAGAACCATCATCACACGATATTCACTGCAGATTATGAAGAAACTATGCAGCAGGACGTTATAATTACACGAAATGTTCTCAGTACAGTGGCGTACATTTGTGTAGCACGGTCGTTTTTTATTGCGGGGGTAAATTTCTTTAAAAGGGCACTTGCACATCCGTGCTGAAAATGTAGACACGTTTTTTTCCCCGGACACTTGGCCTCCGTAAAATCCAAGGGGGGGGGGCTGGTACCATCTGTCAATGGGGGCGCTCTTCAAAACCGACGATTGTGCACACTAATAGACACTACATATATGGTGCTTTTCAGGGCGATACATGCACGTAAATTCACAAAAAAAAGGCACCCGGAACGGCCGATGGGACAAAAAAGGGCACGATTACTTTTTAAAAAGGGCAATTGTTCAGAAAAAAGGGCACTTGTTTAAAAACGGGCACTCTTTACAAAATATTGGGGGGGGGGGCAGTAAGCGCTGTTTAAAAAAGGCATTTGAATGGAAAAGGGCAGTCTTTAGAAAATATTGGGGGGGGGGGATAAAAAAAAACCTTACCCCCCTGCTGGCTATGCCTATGCTGAATACATGTTGTCCCTTGAACACTGCTCATAGTATGTGATGTGGTCTGAATGTGTTTTCATGCCTAGGCTTGGATTTAGCTTGGACTCAATCATGAAACTTGGACTTTAATAGCTTGACTTCTGGAAAAGAGACTAGACTGGAATTGGACTCGATCTGCTTGGACGCAACTCCGGTGGACTCGA